TTCTTTCGACGTCTGATTTCTTTTTAATTATAGGAAATGCGTTTTTCTAAGGTACATAATCGTTTGAGATTGACTGTATAGCCGATACACCCTTAATGACATTGAAAAATATGTTGAAAACGTAAACTTGAAGTGCGTTGTGAAAAGTTAATTGCATTTAATTAAATAACTTTAAGCGAGGTAAATTAGATAATTCTTTAATTGGATAAATGATGAATAACTTTTGCTATGTACACTATATTTATGTACGTTGTATGTATGTTGTATTGCTTGCCTGTCTATTAGATAGTTTCGTAAACCTTCCTGAAAGGCAGATTCACCAACCACGTGCGAGATCATGCGAATCACCGATGCACCTGAAAAAAATTCCGACATGTAATCAGAAAATATAATGGATTGGAAATGCTATCAAGATAGATTAATCTATATTACTGATTACTTATAGCTGACTTCATTATTCTTGTAGAAAAAATAAATAACAAGTCAGAAATCATGAGGAAATAATATCTAGTAGATTAGTTTTGTTAAAGCTGATAACTTTATAAAATTTGCCAATTTTAAATACTGTATAACGTGAGGACGTCAATAGGGAGTCAGATGAAAAATGATTTACAATACTATCTTAATCACTTGATTCTTTATCTATTTACTTATTAATTAGTTTATTGATACACTGATTTTTAGTCCGATTTGTATGCAGTAACAAAACAGAATACATACAAAATATCAAACATAAACTTTGTTGTCTTAGTCTTTAAGTTTACTTTAGTAGTAGATACCAGCCTGTGTACAAGTAACTTTAATTACCTTCTATAGGATACATTGTAATTTTCGTTTTAACGTCGGTTGCATTGTAATTATCTAGTTTAAATAAATGAATAAATAAATAAGTAAACAAAAGCTTTATAGGAGCTTGAACAATAAATGATCAAACAATGAAAAAAGATGTACGAATTTTTTATTAGATATATCATGAAAAGAAATTGGTTAGAAAGAGTGTTTAATACAAGCAAATAGAATTTGTATTTACTACAAAATATAATGTTAAGTGGATCTAGAAAGATATTTACAAACAGCATAATATTTACAAAATTGTATTAGCAGATTAAAGAATCTATGAATGTTAGTAGGAATTTTAAATTGATTTTGTGTGAGGAAGCAGGTTTCTTTTATATTTTTCAATGATATTGAAAACTTTATGGAATTTATTATAAAATCTCTCAGTATTAATGCTACAATCGTAGAGGGAGGGAGTGTACACGGTGTTTAAAAATTGTGTCACGACCACCATAACGGGATTCTACACCTTTGAATCGGTAGAGATCTCCTTAAAAAATAGAAGTAAAATTGACCTTGACTAAATATAATATTGTATAACAAATAAAGTGAGCTTAAAAAGCATTGAAACTTTAACTTCGTTTTCTATATGGACGGCTGACTTAAAATCTATGGTTCCATTGAGACTCTTGTTTTTCGCGATTAGTATTATACGATACAATATAAGTGTTACCGACGTGAACTTGAGTGTATGGACGGGAATTGCGACTTCTAAAGGCGAGCGTCTCAACGTAGTCGGTTTAGACACCGCTGCGTAGGCTCCGTGCACGACGGTTCGAATTTGGGATAGTCGGGGCCGTGTTCCTCGTCTCCAACCGATGACGGTTGATGAAACGACGAGTTCGGGACAGAGGAAGACCAAGGAGCTTCCTCTGCGACCCAGTTGCCCTGTGGAGGCGTGTCGTCTGGAAGGAGAGCACTTCAGAGAGAGTAGACTCTATTGCAATTCCGGGGACCGTCAATGCACGTAGTTTTTGGCTGTTAAGCA